CCAATAGTAATAACTGCAAGCGGAAAAACCTCGCTCCTCGACGATTCGGCCGATGGCGGCTCGACTGGAGAACCGGCGCGGCGCATGCCCATCGCTGAGCATTTGTCTCTCTCGCCGTCGCTCTGATCGAGATTCGCCTGCCGCGCCGGTCCTGTCTCTGCGGGAACCGTCGCGACCGCGTGCGAGATATGCAAAAGACGCGCAATATCAGGCACGCGACGAGGATCAAAGTGATCGAGGTGGATGACAAGAAGCCCAGAAGAATGGCAACGACGCGCCTCGACCTCGCCCTCCAGGACCAGAATGGCGCGGAAATTGGCGAGGTCCTAAACGATCCCCAGCAAAACCTGTGCCGCCAACGACAGCAGGAGCGGCAAATGGTCTTGATCTTTCAGCTAATGTGACTCGATAATACCAACTACTGCATCACGACAGCCAACGACGCGAGACGGGAAGCGATTCTTACCGGCCGTGGAACTGCCACCCTGACCACCAATCCCAGAATAAGTCTTAAGAGTTCTGTTGATGCGCTCGGGATAGCACCCGATCTTCCAAAAACTATCCCCCGCGTTGAAGGCCCGAGCTTTGCCGCGGCAGCGTGAGTTACATCCTTCATCCAGGACGGCCCGAGCACCTTTATTCTTGAAGACGCCATTCTGAGCTTGGGAATCGCCGGCGATGCGGTCGATGCAGGAGATGGCGGCGCCACGGGCGCGAAGCGTTTATTCTCGGCGCGTCTCTGATGCGCAGTCGCGAAGCATGGCAGTCATCTCGGCAGCGCCGATGTCACCCGTGTCTCGTCAGATCGACGTCGCGCACTTCAAGGGCATATCCATTGCAATATTCGGCTCCCCAACGCCGATGCAACGTTCACTCTCGACGATCTTCCCGATTGGTTCAGCTTGGAAATCGGCGGCGCGCTCAACCTTCTTCGCCGCCGCCTTCTTCTCCCGCGCTGCCTCGCAAGGCAGCCCGTCGATGCGCGTCGGGCATCTGCCGCAGAACGCGCGGGCGACGCCCTTGGCACTGCCTCTGCTGTTGCCGAGGTCGCGAGAATACTCGCCCGACTGGCGCAGCGCCTCGCATCTCTCCTTCTTGGTCTTGCGCCCACAGCCCCTGCAAGCGCGTGCGATGAGACGAGCCCGCGAGCCGGCGCCAGAGACGCCCGTGCATGCGCGAGCGCGCGGACGACGCAGTAGCGGCTCCCGGGGCCTGTTCCTGCCCATCAAGGTGCCAGCGCCAGCGCCGACAGGAAAGCGCGCGCCATCTGCAGAAAGTCGCGCGACGCAGCGACGATGCAACTACGTGGAATTCCCATCGTGCCACGCAAAGAAATAATTCAACCACCCGCTCGGCTTTTCGGCGCCGCGACCCCAGGATGCATGACCAGGCGAATCCCTGGAAACTCTGCTGCGCGTGAAACCGCTATGCTGACCAGTCACGAACATCGCGTCATAACCATGAATGGCAACCAACTCTCGCACGGGCGTCGCCTCGCACTCCTCATCCAATTCACTGTTCATCGAATAATTATCGGGGGCGTCTGTCGAGGCGCTCGGGGCGGCAGTTCTCGAGGCAAGCATGCGACGAGCCGCGCGCGCGCGAAGCTCCTCGCCAGCCGGCAGAATGTCCTCGTCGCAACTCTCGCCGACGCGTTCATCTGTGCGTCCCTGATCAACCAGCGCTGCCCGCTGCGCTTTTTCCCCTCGCTGAAACATGCCCCGCGACATGGCGCAACATGTGACGAGGAGGAAGAGGAAAAGAAGGTTGCGGCATGCGGTGCGAAACTGGCGTCGCGGCGGCGATGACGAACGGTGGGCGACGCCGCGACGTGTCCCGCGGGCGCGACCTGGGCGCGACGGGGGCGGCGGCGCAGCAGCGCGCGCTACCAAAGGCCGTCTTGGGTTTGCCCTCGCACTCGGGGCCTTCAGACCAGTGGCCAATACCGTTGCCGGTCTTGTACCTCGATCGTGGCTTGACAGTCTGGAAGCGGGCCTTGCGCTCTTCCAGTGTCGGTTATCCATTGCAACCGCCCTTGGACGATGAGGGCAGCCGGCGGCTATCTTCTCCCATGCCTCTACTCGCGCCTATGCCTTTGGCGCCAAAAATGGCTACCAAATCGTTCCCGAGAGACTAGATATTCTCAAGAATTGATTCTCCCGTTCAAACGTGGTTGACCGTTTTCTTCCTTGCATCAACAACAAAATCTTCTCCGCGCGGCGTAGATGTCCAGTGGGCGCGGGGGTCGCCGTCGCCCAAGGCTCGGTCGTCGAACCAAGTCTCTGCCGACGCAGATTCGTCGTCCCGGCCATATTCATGTCAGGCCGGACGCGCAGTAACTATGCGGCCTCAACTCCTCGGGGTCGTGCTCCTCCTGCTCATGCCAGCTGGCGTCAGCAGCGTGGTACCCCTTGCTCTTGCTGTGGTTTCGGAGCGTCGAATGAGAAAAGGTGGAGTTGTTGCCTGTGTTTTCTGTTGGCGACCGTGCTGGCGGATCAAGACGTCCTTGATATTGCCAAGGTTGGTCACATTGCCCGTTGATGTCGTTGCCATCAAATTCGCCGAAAGCGGATGTCCTGCATGGTCCAAAAGAAGAGATCCAAGCATGCCGACACTCATCACGGGGTTCGGATCGAGTTTAGAGACAAGCTCCCACCAACGCTTCTTGCGTGATATGTACGAAACCATAGTCTCCTCGTTCTGTCGGGACATTGGTCCGCAAGGTCTCTGTCCTGCTTGGGACAAAATCTTGCTTGGCTTCCTAGGCTTCTATGTGAAAAAAAGCCAGGTACGGATCGTCTGTATCAGCAAATCTTAATCATAAGCGTATCCTTGCCGATATTCATGGCCATCGAACGCATCGGCTCGGGGACCCTCTGACACCTTACTGGCGGTTGCTGTAACGGCATGTGGATGTGGTTCCCCCGTTGCAGGATCAACAGCGGCCGCGGCAACACTCATGCGCATCTCTGTGCGGAATTCCCATGCATGGAACATGTCCACTGTGCCGTCATAGATGTGGAAGCCACTCTTCGTCACAGATCTTGTCAGCGAATCGGGATGTGGTCTATAACGAGGAAAAAGACATCGTTGTGAGGAACTCTGTCTGGGGGGCACGGGTCCTGCGCAGTGGTGCTGTCGCCGAAGACCGTGCACCAGGCTCCCTTGCCAGTGTTATGTTTGATGATGATTGTGGATGAATCTGCCCTTGAGAGTCAAACGGCAGCGAGTGGCGCACGTACATGTTATGCACACACACTATGTATATGTATATGTATATGTGTATATGTGAATATATATATATATATATATATATATACATACATACATATATATATATATGTGTATATATATATACCAAGACGGAGTAGGGGGGAGGACGAGAAGGATGACGCACGAGGAAAACGAGAAAATATGGGCAGACGGAGAGGAGGATAACACAGAGGAATAGGACGATGAGGACGGACGGACGAGGAAAGGGGGAGGAAGATGAGGCAGGCCGAAAAATACTGCTTGGTGAGAGGGGTGGCGGGAGGAGGATGATTGACGGGCGAAGAGAGAAGTGCAACATACGTAAGTTACTCCGCCGTCGAGGACGCCGCTGGCACGTCGCGTCGTGGTATAAGCATTCCAGCCGCCCTGGAGCAAATGGCCCGACGGCGGAGAATTTTCTTTGTTTGTACTGTTCTTCGCCCGCTAAGACGGGAACGGAGGAGCAGGAGGACGACCATGATCAGGCAGGAGGGAGCAGGCGGAGTGAGACAGGGAGGAGATGGATGATTGGGCGGGGGTCGGGGGAGGGCTAGGGACGGAGAGATAGGCGAGGAGAGGAGGGTTGAGTTGTGAAGCTGGCGGAAGGAGCGAGGAGGATGGAGGAAGGGGAGGACCCGGGGAGAAAGCGTGGATGCTGGTCCTCGCGTGCGCGGGGAACGCCTCCTGCGCAGGGAGGAGACGGTGGGGCCGTGGCCCCTCAGAGCGAGGTGCGAACAAGTCGCACTGCGAGTCCGTAACTATCGACTGGCAATCCCCTATCACTGTCCAAGGCCATGCATTGCGACAACAAAACGAAAAACGGACAAGAACGTCAACGAAACCGAAATCGGCTGAAACCAATTGGCCGCATTCAACTGAGAAGGACGCAGAAACGCAGCAACGACCCAGCAACGGGCAGAACCTAACCGATCGAACGCAACAGACTGCGACGTCATCGAACCGAGCGAACAGCGGACACCCTGTGTAGTCGAGGTTGCCAGGAATACTGAGTTACCTGGAGCATGTTTTTCTTACAAACCTCGCTCTTTCAACCTCCACTAGATCCCCCCTGGGTTTCCGCCCATCACCGAGATCTAACGAAACCCTGCCCATATTCTCTCGATTGTCCTTACGTGCGCCGTATGAAGGATGAACAATTGGGACGAGGGAAAACAGAAGAGGAGGACGGGGAAGGCGAGTGGGGGAGGATGGGAAAGAGGAGACGAGAAACGGGGAGGGAGATGTTTGTGGGTTCGATCCATTTCGGCTCGTCAGGTTGCCTTCGCCACCAGGGCTGGACCCAGGCTCGAAATCCAAGCCAGAGCGCGCTCCAGGGCACATGCGGCGGGGAGCGGGTTTGAAGAGGGAAAACGTCGGGCGTGTGGCAGTGAGGGGTGACCCAACTGGGGGGGGAAGAGAGAGGCCCGGAAGGGGTTCTTCAAGGGCCACTTTTGGGCACCTGCTGGCTCCAAAAGGAGCCCTGAAGGGCTCCTGTAGGCCCCCGTTCTTCACCCCCCAGTTGGGTCAACCCCCAGCACCTGAGTATCGTTCAACCGATCCCCATCCCCAGCGGCGTGGCCTTGGCCCCACTGGCCGATTCACCCCCCTAGATGGGGGTATAGGTCGTTCCCTTCGGGTTTCGAAGGGTGTATCCCCAACTGGGGTGGCAATCTGGTGGGGGTCTCGAAGGGGATGGGGATGGGGATGGCGATCGCTTGAACGATACCGAACACCACCCACCCGACAACGAGGGCGCGTCCCGAACTGAGGCAACACCGGCAGCACCGCCTCACGCCTTGACGTCCGCCAAAGCCTGGCACGGCCGCGCATCTTCCGCCTGCCCTCCGACCTGGGCCCCTCTGCGGCAGGCTCCTGCCGTGGCTGCTCCGGCCCGGGCTCCGGACGACGGCACGAACCGCCAGGCATCGAGTGATCCCCGCCCTCGGAGGTCCCAAACAAGAGGCCTCCTAAATGGGGTCGGAGTAGATGGGGTCGGAGGATCGCGCCGCATCGCCGACACATCGCCGATACATCCGCGATATATCGGCGATGCATCGGCGATGCGCCAGCGTTGCATCGTCGACATGAACGATGCATCGGCGACGTCGGCGTGACGCAAATCGGGCTCCACATCGAGCCGCATCGCGATGCATCGGCGATGCGGCGCGATCCTCCGACCCCATCTACTCCGACCACATTTAAGATGCCTAGACAAAAGAAAGGCGGACGAAGGACGACTCCATCATTCGCCACTGCCGCCGCAGCGCCGTGAGCTGCCCTCAGCAGGTCACAGGTCCGAGCCCAGACACGCGCGCGACGTTCTGATGTTTTCCATGCGCGGCCCCTGGAAATCCCTACCCTTTCCCCCGGGCCGGTGTCTCATCCTGGGCAGTTTTTTGACGGTCCCTGGGCCAGCCCAACGCGGGCCACCAAAGGCCGAAAACTTCCAAAAACCTCCCGTCGCATTTTCCCGCGACGCCCTGGGCTACGAGGATGTTTGGGTTACGAGCATGTCTGGCAGGCCCCCCCAGGCCATAAAAACTTGGCAACACAGCCGTCCCGATCTGCTTGCGGCGCGGGCATGTATGGGCGGGTTCCGAGGCAAACCCCCCTCAGGGGGGGGCGGGCGAAGGCAAAATACAAGGGGGGCGAGAAGGGGTGGGCGAAGACAAAACCAAAATGAATACGTACTGTCTTTGCCTGAGAGCCAGGAGCCCTCTGGCAGAGTGCAGAGAGAGAGAGAGAGAGAGAGAGAGAGAAAGAGAGGAGGTTTATAGAGAGACAGGGATAAAGAGAGAGAGAGAGAGAGAGAGAGAGAAAGAGAGAAAACCAAAAAAAAGAGGCGACACGACACGACGACGAGAACAACGGACGACAAACGAACGACAGACACGCTGCCTCTCGGGGGGGGGCCCCGCGTCGACGCGGCACGGGCCTGCCGCCCATCGCCTCCGTTCCCCTCCCCGTCCCCTGGTGTGCCCGGAAGCGTATCCTCCCTCACTCCTGCACCTCATGTTTATTTCCTGCTTCCTCCTCCTCCTCCTCCTCCTCCACGATCCTACATCGTTCTCCTCATATCGTTCTCCCATATGCGTGCCCAACCCCAACCCCTGAACACGTCCTGCCAAAACCTGCCCTCGTCCCCTCGACCAAACATACCCTTTTCCCTCCTCAGTCCCACATGCATGTTTACCCTCCGCCTTCCGTCCTCCGTCCTCCCCCCCTTCTCCTCGAACCGCCACCTTCCCTCCGCACGCTCCTTCTCTGTATTTTCACGTCTACATTCTGAATATGAATGCCATTATCCGCTTTCCTGGGACATGTCTTGTCGCACACACGATATGTTGTGTGGTATCCCACACGTGCTTCCAACTCGTAATTTGTGTCCCTGCCCTTCTGTTGCATCGCTGCGCGAATTTCAAAGTCACACTGGAAAATAAAACATTTCTGAATCGTTCATCATGGTGGTCCCGCTGCAGCATTGGCCTCGCGGCTGACTCGCAAGGGGGCGTCGGAGTGTATTTGGTCATTCAAGAATGTACTCCTGCCGCAGCAGTGGCGCCGATTTAAAACCGGCGCATTTCTCCAGTCGTTCAGACTTGCACAACGAGTGTCATATGTGCGGTTCAGATTCATTCGCCCTCCGCCCACTCCTCCGCCTTCCCCTGGCCCTCCTGCTCCCCGTGATCCTCCTGCACACGCTGCTGATGTGCCTCTTTCTTTCGTATTCCTGAGCATCCACCTTTTCCTCGAAGGTCCCCTGCCTGACTACACATTAAGCGATAGGGGCAGCTGGATCAAAGCTCTCCTAGATAAGAAACACCCTGTCGGCGGATGGAACAATCTTCTACGCAAGCAGAAAAATGGGTGGGACTGATCGGACGCCAGATATGGCGCGAGGCGGCCGGCGCAGCGCCGAATCTGGAACGATAAAGGGGCCCGAACGTCACCGATAGCCGTTGGCGGGGTCCGCGAGATGATGCGCAACGTGCCGCAGGTGCCTTTCGAGTCTCCGCAGCGAACATCGCCGGGCAAGGGACGGAGCTCGGCGCGGCCAAAATGGCGCGAAGGCATCGCTGAGCGGCACCAGGAACACGCGGAAGGAGGCGCCGATCAGGAAGCCGAAGCAGAAGAGGGACCCTGCGGCGACGATGAATGGAAACCCGCGGAGGTGGGGGAGGATGCACAAGGAGCCAAACACACACACGACCCAATGCGCGCGCAATTGCTCCCGCGGCCCGGGCCCCGGGGCCCGGAATTCGCGGCGCGGCGGGGCCCGGGTGGGCCTTCCGACCGGCCCGCGCGGGACATCCAGCCGCGGCTGGAATTTGAAAACGTCGAGCCCCCAAGGCCTCGGATTTGTGTCTGGAAAAAGCAACGGGGCGGCCGACCGCAGACATGGGCCCGCGAGGCTCCGACCCCAAGACTTCGCGACGACGGTTCTCAAAGTGGCCGCGAAACGCATCCTCGAAAGAAAGACGCCCTACCAAAACGCACAAGAAAGGGCGCGGGCATTCCCGCCCGTTCGCTTCCGCTTTGCTTTCGAGGAATCCAAGCGCCCAGGAGAGCCCCCAAGGCGGCTTCGAGAAATCCCGGGCCCAAAAGGGCCACAAAAGAGAAAACTGCCAGTGCGCGGCGGAATGGCCACAACAAGCGCCGTTCCTTTCTGCGATCGATGGCTTGCAATCTGGGCCCCGCGTGATGGCCCGCCCAAAGAAAGCCTCAAAGGCGCCCGCAATTTCTCCGATATGTCTCAAATAAGCTGCCAATGGGCACCCATCTCGAAAGGTCCGCGTACGCATGCATGGTTGACTCCTAAACCTGCTCGAGCGAATCCTAAGCTTCGGTTTGACCGCTGCCCCAATAGTCGTTCAACTGTTTTCTCCTGCGCTACCCCTATGACGCAACTCGCTTGAGCGTCGCTGCTGGATGGGCCTGGCGGGGGCGCTTTCTTGTTCTCAACCGCAAGCGGGCAGCCGCGCGGCGTCGAAGCGTTGATCGCGAGACAGGCCTACGCGCGCGGGAAATCACACAGAAGCAAGCGAACGCGGGAAAGTGAGGGGGCCGAAACCAAGGGCAAGCGGCGCTCGACGGACGAGGGCGACGAAGGGAGGGAGAAACAGGGCACTCGCGCAGCGCCGCTCAGAGGCGGGAGATCGAGCCCAGGAGCGCCAGGAGCACGTCGTCCTCCAGGTACATGCACCGCGAGAGGAACCGGCGCGCGGCCTGAATCCCGTCTCACCAGATGCCAATCGTCGAAGGTCGCGAGCCCGCCAGGAACGAGCACGGAGCACCGCGGCCGCGAACCAGCGGGCAGAGGAACCAACCGACGGCCCGCGCCAACGAAGAGCACGCCCAAGAAGAACACGGAAGCGCCAGCCGCAGGCCGCACCGAATCCAGCCCGTCCTCCGAGGCCGACGCGGGACCGCCGACCTAGAGCGGGGCCTGCCGGCCCGCGCACCCGGGGGGGGCGCGGAGTGCCTGGGGCGCCCTGCAGAGGGGGGCGGCTAACGGCCGCGGAAACTTGAGATGCTCATTGGGGGGCGGCTAACAGCCCCTGGATGGCTCAGAGCGCCGCAGTCTGCTCGCTCCATCGGGGTCCGCCCGCGTCGGTCTGGGGCCTGCTGGGGGGGGGGGGGGCAGGAGCTCCAGGAGGACCCGAACAAGGGCGCGGAGCCCTGGGGGGGGCCCCGGGGCCTGGATGGGGGCCTGGAGGGGGCCCCAGCCCCTCGCGGCGGTCGGCCGCGCGCAGGACCTGCCGATGCTCTGCTTGGGCGCGGCTATCAGCCGCGGGGTGGTAGGACATGATTTCGCCCGAGACCTGCCGATGCCCCGCTAGGGGGCGGCTAACAGCCGCGGGATGTTAGGAAACGGTTTGGCCTGAGACCTGCCGGCGCACTGTTGGGGCGCGGCTAACAGCCGCGGGAATTGAACCAGTCGCGCGCGAGTACGCGCCCCAGGTGGACGCGGCGAGGGTGGCCCGACAGAAGAGGGGGGGCGGCTAGCAGCCGCGGAGTTAGTGGGAAGACGCCCGGACCTGAGCACCACGTGCGGGGGGCGCAGCACGCGCAGGGGGGCGGCTAACAACCGCGGGATGATTGGAAGTGTCGCAAGTAATCCGATGGGGCCGTTGCGCGCGTGCCAGCCCCCCCCCCCCCCCAGGAGAGAGCGCGCAGGGCGCTGCAGGTGCGCGGGGCAGCAAAGGGCTGCAAAGGGGGGCTCCAGCAGTAGCATGCGGCACGCGAAAAAAAAGGGGGCCAATCCCCGTGCCGCCCGCGCCGAGCTGGGGGGGGCGGCAATCGTCCTGGGGGAGAGATGCTGCTTCTGCGCCCCTGAGAGCTGGGGCGGGCCAACAGCCCCGGCCGGGCGCGCCCGGGGCGGCATCGGCGCGCGCGCAGAGGCGCGAAGAAGGGCTGGCCGCCCCCATGGCCAGGAGGGGTGGGGCCCCAGGGGGCGCCCGTAGGTAGCGCTGCGGCGCCCGCGAGTGCAATTGTGCGCGTGCACCTGAGCGACGCTGGCAAATCTAAGAGTGCGCCCAGGGCTGGCGCGAGCCCGTTGCCCTCCCAGGGCCCGCAGTTCTAGTCCGCCTCGTGTCGCTATCTTCGCGCGGCTTTTGGCTTTACCGGGGGCGCCCGCGTCTACCTCTGTCGTGGATGCGAGCGCGGACAGACTCCCAGTTGACCCCGAGCTGGAGCGCAGTATTCGTCTTGAAGACGTTGCACTTGATGGGGCCATTCATTGAGGAAGTGCGTCGGGCTGTTGGCGCGCAGGGTCAGCGAGGGGGCGGCCTGTAGGCGGGGGATGCGCGACTG